CCAGGGAGGTGTGTTGAAGAAAGTTGGAGCTAAACTATGCAGAACACCGGCCCTTCAGGACCGAGTTTGGACACCCCTGGTTTAGTGGCTAATTCATAAAAGTTCAGTCATACGGAAATGTATGATTTTAGCACCCAACCACACCTCTAAACCCAACCGTCATTGGTGCATAAGCAATTCGTAGCCTACTAAATCGTATGAATAAGATTTAGCCACTAAATCAAAAGGTTATGAATTGCTGTGAGATCATGTTTGCCTCAGGCTCCATCTTTATGTTTTATGTTGATCATATTAAAGCAAAGAAAACAATCTGAAGTTGATGTTTTTTTTAAGTTATATATGCCATGATTTTACCGCTCAGGCCCACTCGAGAATCGGTTTTCCTCCATGTGGCCCCTGAGCTAAAATGAGTTTGACACCACTGGTCTATAGTAAAAATGCCAAAATTAGAGCCCTTTGAAAAAAAAAAAAATGTTTTCAATTAAAATCCCCGAAGACATCTTGTCTTCCTTCTAAGCAGAAACTCTTCTCTGTGTGTGACATGTCCAAATAAATATGGCTGCTGTTTATATATTGTGCATCACTAATGTGAAGTCACAATAACCCAGGCTGCTTTATAAAATCACAGCACTTAGCCGTTACTAATGTACTAATTCTACTTCATCTGGATGAAATCCTCTTCCATCCACTCGGGAGACTCTTTCCAGCAGATTTATTTATTTTTAATCATCGTTTTTTGTTCTAAATAGGCAAAACACTCCACAACTCAAGGCATTTCCTTTTATTTTCTTGCGGTCATGTATCTTTTATGTAAGGTAACTTTCTTTAATGCAATTTTAATGGCTCTCTGCTTCTTGCATGCACTGTTAAGGGCCACATAAGAGTCTTTCAGAATTAAAAGGCTGTTAATGGGTGTCCGACCAATAGTTCAGGGCAGGCTGTCAATGCTCTAGTACTTTTAAACTAAGTTTGTAAAGGGAAGCTCGTCTTGATCCATTATGGCTAGCAGTTCGAAATGGAGCAAAATGAATTGTTTGTGCAGTAGCCGTGGTTGGGATCTTTGCCAACAAGTGTCATCTCTCTGTATTGATTTTCCTGGGGGTGTAGGTGCTATATACAACACAACTTGTTTCAGCATGGAGTCCTTGGGTATGCTAGGCTTTATTTATGTAGGTCAGCCTTAATTCAGTTAGTATTAGGGCTGCACTGAGTTTGCAAAGTAAAATACCGCAATGTCAGATTTTTCCAGCGATGTATATTGTGATTTGAATAGCTGTTTTTGGAAAGATTTTATTAGTTTAGATCAACTGGGATGATCAAGTCTTTTTCTTTGCAGTGCATCTGCATAAATGATAATAAATTACGAGCTAAAATAAATAAGCAGTGCTTTATGGTTTTCTGAGGAATCTAAATGTATTCAAGTACAGTAATGGAACAGTAAGATGTAAGATTACATGGTCATCAATGTGTAAAAATGTATAAAATGTAATAATATCTTTGTTTTACTCTTTAATAGATCATATTATCCTGCGATGTGATTATTGCGAATGCACACATTGCAATAACACTGAGGCATAAAGTATTAAAGATGCATTAATCATTAGAACTCCAATTTTTTTTCATTATTATTATTATATTCCGCGTGTCTGCATTCATGATATACATTTTTAAAATAGTGTGTATATATTTTACATTTTATTTCTTATTAAGAGTTTACATGCACATGCTTTAACTGGTTTTGTTAAATCATCAATGTAAGTGTTCAAACAGGATCAACTGTGTTGCTTTATCAACTTAAGGTTATAAATGCAAGATGTTGAATGAGTTGCACTAGACTTTCTCATGTTTATTCATCAAACTGGCAAAATATTTGGTAAAGCTCTTTGACCATAAAACGTGTTTTCCTTTGCTATTAAAAAATATTAAACAACTCTGTTACTCAGAAAATATACCTATGGATATTTTCAATAAGGTTTCTCCAGTATTAGAATTTTTAACAGATGTGAATATGACAGATTTTATGTAACATTTACATATATATTTTTTATTATTTTTATTTTATTACTTTTTTATTTTGTCATTTACTGTATTTAAATGTATTTGTTTCTATTTTAATAATTTATAATTTTTTTATTAGGTTTATTTTTTATTTTATTGTTGAATCAATACTTTTTTATTTATATATGTATTTATTATTTGATTTATCCATTTATTTTTCTTTTATTCATTTATTTTATTTATTTATTTGTTTATGGGTTTATTGGTTTATTTATTTATGTTATTTATTTACATTTTATTTCTTATTAAGGGGTTACGTGCACATGCTTTAACTGGTTTTGTTAAATCATCAATGTAAGTGTTCAAACAGGATCAACTGTTTTGCTTTATCAACTTAAGGTTATAAATGCAAGATGTTGAATGAGTTGCACTAGACTTTCTCATGTTTATTCATCAAACTGGCAAAATATGTGGTAAAGCTCTTTGACCATAAAACGTGTTTTCCTTTGCTATTAAAAAATATTAAACAACTCTGTTACTCAGAAAATATACCTATGGATATTTTCAATAAGGTTTCTCCAGTATTAGAATTTTTAACAGATGTGAATATGACAGATTTTATGTAACATTTACATATATATTTTTATTATTTTTTATTTTATTATTTTTTTATTTACTGTATTTATATATATTTGTTTCTATTTTAATAATTTAAAATTTTCTATTAAGTTTATTTTTATTTTATTGTTGAATCAATACTTTTTTATTTATATATGTATTTATTATTTGATTTATCCATTTATTTTTCTTTTATTCATTTCTTTTATTTATTTATTTGTTTATGGGTTTATTTGTTTATTTATTTATGTTTTTTAAATGTATTTGTTTTATTTGAGTAATTTTCAATTTATTTAAATAAATTAAATTAAAATAATTTATTTATTGAAATGTAGTTGTTGTTTTCTTTTGTTTTAATTTTTTTATTATTTTATTATTTTATTAATTTGTTAAATCAATTATTTTATTTATTTATTATATAATTTATTTATTATTTATTCATTTGTTTTTATTCATTCTTTTTTATCTGTTTATTTATTGATTGATTTATATTACTTATTCATTCATTTATTTATTTAAGCATGGATGTTTTTTTGTGTGTGTGTGTGTGTGTGTGTGTGTGTTTTGTGTGAATTTGTGTGTTTGTATTATAAATTTTGTAAATATGATTTCTTTTCAGTTTGTCGTGAATTTAGCCTGCGATGCAGACATGGCATAAAACAGTATATAAATAAAAAAAAAAGAGCAAAAGTTCATTACCCGTTACCTTGATTTTACTCTGCTTGTTAGCATGTATTGCGCTAGCTTATTGAAGTAACTTTGGACCAGATTCCAATGTTTATGTGAACTGTCCCTATAATAAAAAACAAAAAAAATAGACAGCAATCTATATCTATATCTTTTTTTCTTCTAATTTTTAATGTGAATATTGAATATTTTACCAAAAATTACAGTTTCTCCTGATTATACTCATTTTATTGAAGAAAAATTTTTAAAAATGTGTTTGTTTGTTTGTTCGCAACGATGGATTTGCTCTTCAATGTTTGGACTCTCAGCAGTGAATATTAAACCACACTGAACTGAACTAAACTGAACTTCAACACTGAAAACTGAACTGCACTGTTTCAATTAACTATAATCTTCTATGTGAAGCTGCTTTGACACAATCTACATTGTAAAAGTGCTGTACTAATAAAGATGAATTGAATAGTTAATTTTTGAATAAAAAAACTTTAAAAATTTAAAATAGAAATAATAATGTGTAATATGACATAAAGCATCATCAATGTTAGTATTACAAGAAATGTATTAGAAAAACTGACTCTCTTATATCAAGAACTGATAGAAGCATGAATGAATGTTCTCATTTCGTGCAGACATGAGATAAGCAGCACAATTTTAGAAACTTTAAAACCGAGAGCAGAATGACTCTGCAAGTTTCCGTCATTTGGTTTTGAATGCTATATTTGGCATCAACACGACACTCATAACAGATTGAGGTGAGTAGTACGCGCACGTTTTATTGTCACTGATGAAATATAACCAGATGTTTAAAAATACATTTGTGCAAACATGATTTACTTGACATGGTCTTAATGAAACTCCCATAAACGCTTCTGCAACAAACATAGCGAACCGCCTACAGGCACATTAAAAGCTAAACCCATGTCATGGTCTTGCAAATAAACCCAGAGGGATGATTGGAAACACTTTCTGGCAGTTCTGTGTTTATGGCCTCCCTTAGGCTGTAAATCAAGAGCTGTAGCTTTAAGAACATGACACTATGAATTTTTTAATCTCCTGGATTACCTCTGGTTTATGTAATCTATGGTTTGAATATATTTGACAGGATATTTGAATTTTCTTTTTAGTTTTTGTTATTTTATATTACTACTAGTAATAATAATAATAATAATAATTATAATAATTATTATTATTATTAAATGGTTGGTTATTTAATTTTAATACATTTTAATGAATCATTAATATTTATAATTAGTACTTTCTTGTTTTTATTTTATTTTTAAACTGTATTTTCATGACTGAACATGACAGTATCCTTTTTTTTTAATTTAACCTTCATAAATTGCTTCTCGTTGACCTAATCTATGATATTTTGGAGGTTGCTTTAATTTTCTTTTTTGTAAATTATAATTATTTTAAACTTGTACAACTAATCTTTTTTATATTTCAATATGTTGTTGTTGTTTTTATTGATTAGTTAATTCATTTGTACTTAATAATTTAAGTTATTTAAATTAAACGCTATCCTTTTTATATTTTACATATACATATTTTATTTTATTTTTAAGCTGTATTTTTATATAACATGGCAGTGTAATTAACTAATTACTAATTACAGTGTAATTAACTAATACTATCCTGCTTTTATTTAAATTTGAAAGCATATTTTTCCTGAAGTTTTGCTCTTGATCTCTCTGCAGGAGCTGATCTTGCCTTTGCTCCTCCTGGGTCTCCTCATCCTCATCAGCACCCTCAACCCTCATGTCTCCTACGGCAGCATCAGCACCAAGGAACTGGAGTTTGAGCGGGAACTGCCAGTCAAAGGTCTGGGTTACACCCCCATCACCAATTTCACCAATCACATCATGGAAGAGGTGGCACGCGAACTGTGTAAGTCACATCTGTTGCTTGTCTGTGTTCAAGTATCATTTTCTATTATTAAATGTGTTGCCAATTTAGGCAGCATTTACTCAAGTTTATTTTAATTAATTAATTTATTTTACCTTAATTTTGTTTGTGACTGCTGTTGTTTGTAGATTTTAGTTTTTGTGAAGCACATTGGTCAACTTGACTTGTTTTTAATTATGATATATATATGATATATATGAAATATATATATATATATATATATATATATATATATATATATATATATATATATATATATATATATATATAAACTGCCATTGTCATGTTCCTTTCCTATTAGCTTGAACTGGCTTTTAGTTCGGAGCTAGTGCTATTGCCTATTCAAAGATGATTTGATTCGGCTAGAGAGCCTTCTAAGAACAGGTTTGCTTTTCCATGAACCAGAGAAACACCACAGAACAAAGTCACTCATCTTCCCTAGCAACAGTGCGGAAGCCATGAATGCACAGCAAATAAACTATTTGTGCCACAAAGTCGTATGTTGCATGGGTATATTTTTAGCCAGAATGATATTGTCAAAATAAAATATATATATATTTTATATCTCATTCATTCATTAATTTTCCTTCTGCTTAGTCTCTTTATTTATCAGAGGTCGCCACAGCAGAATGAACCGCCAACTCATCCAGCATATGTTTTACACAGCAAATGCCCTTCCAGCTGCAACACAGTACTGGGAAACGCCTATATACACTCGTTCACACTCATACACTATGGCCAATTTAGTTTATTCAATTAACCCGTAGAGCATATCTTTCGACTGTGGGAAACCACACGGACATGGGCAGAACATGCAAACTCCACACAGAAATGCCAACTGGCCCAGCTGGGACTCGAATCAGCAACTTTCTTGCTTTGAGGCAACAGTACTAACCACATCATGGCGCCCCTATATTTTACATCTAAATATAAATAGGCATTTTCTCAAATATATGCATGCATGCGTGTATTTAAATACACATCCATCTATTCGTTATAGGTCATAGCAACTTTTTAGTCAGGGCATTTGGCCTAGGAACCATTATTTGCAGATCACTTTTCCCAGTGCAGAGTGTGTCTAAAATCAAAGAAAAGCTTTGAAACCATGCTCTGGTCACTCAAACTAATAATTACTATTTAAAATAGATCCATTGTGTGTGTATTTGTTTATGTCATAAGTAGGCCCATACGGAATCTGCGCGCGCAGAATTCCGCAGATTTTTCGCAGATTTTCCGCAAAATTCCGCAGATTTCTGCAGATTGTTAGCTTAAAATTAATTTTGTTTATTTACTTGAGTAAGTGTGTATATCTGAATTTATTCAGTTTTTATTCAGTAATTTATTACTTTTTATTTAATGTATTAAGGTCTAAGTTATGATACTCCGCTGGATACTCCCAAAATAATTCCACAGAAATCCGCAGAGTTTTACCAAAATTCTCTGCAGAAATAGCAAAAAACATCCGCAGATTCCGTCTGGCCCTAGTCATAGGGAAGGGCATTCGTTGCGTAAAACATATGCTGGATTCCACTGTGGCGACCCTATATTTAATAAAGGGACTAAGCCGAAAAAGAAAATGAATGAATGAATGAATGAATGAATGAATGAATGAATGAATGAATTATGTGTGTTGTTCCTCAGCTATGAATGAGCATTTAGACATGTTCTCCACCGAGGCTGATTTGGAGAATGCCAGCCTCTATGAACCTGAGGGCTACGTTGGAGTGGTCTTTTTGGATTCGATGTCATATCGTCTGCGATTCCCGTACAGCCAGCTTCCTCTACCTAGTGACTTCACCGAGTCCATAAGTAAGCATCACACACACACACACACACACACACACACACACACAAACCACTGATTTCATGAAGTTACAGCAGTGGCAGCACCCTGTTTTGCTGCGGCTTTGGTTAATTGGCAAACTCCTTTTTAATGCAAATGACATTAGCTTTGTAACTGTTTGATCTATAATGAAAGGAGCTGTTGAAGAACTAACACTCTTGAGTTTTTTTTTTTTTTTTTTAAATCTCTGATCCTCAGCAAGCTGTTACACCAACTATGTCAACTGCCGTGCCGCCAACTACTGGTATTCTGGATTCATACGACTACAGTCTGTCATTGATGCTGCCATTATACAGGTTAGAAAGTACTGCATCAGTTTGAAAGAGTTATTAGTATTTAGAAACTTTATAACACTGTTAAACACCTAAATGTTTTTTTTGGACTCCACTCAAAAAAAAAAAAAAAAAAACCTGCCAGTTGCGTTTTGTTTTTATCACAGCTCTGCCATTGAAAGTGACTTAGTGCTATTAAGTGCATCAAATAAAAAGCAAATGAGAAGCATCTTAAAGGGGCGGGGCATGTAAGAGAGCATTTGATTGGTTATAATTTGATGAGAAACTGAAGTATAAGGTGACGTGAATAAAACCATTGATCCAAACAGGCAGACGTGACAAACTACAAGCTTTACATGTTTATATCAGTTTTATATCTTCTAAACCTGATATTTGTCACTGTTTTGGAGCACACTAGGTTATAGATATCTTAAAAACTAACAATACTGATGGTAACAATTATTTTATTATTTTTATTATTATTATTTTATTTTTTTTTTTTTTTATTATTTTAAATTCATGAGATCAGTTTAAAAAATAAATTATTTAAAACTGCTTTTATTCCAGCCAAGTTAAATTACATCAGAGTTTCTCCAGAAAAAAAATATATATAATAGCAAATACTGTGAACATTTTCTTTCTCTGTCTAACATTACTTTGAAAATATTTGAAAGTGAATCAAAAATTCACAGGAGGGCAAATAATTTAGTAGTGGTTTTTGGCAATTGAAGGAAACTGCTGAGCTTTTTCTGATCCATGATATTTCCTAAAAACTGCTTCATTTTATCTGCAGATGAAGACCAAACGTCCGGTGTGGAATGAATTAAAAGTGCGAGCAGTGATGATGGGACATCCAGGTTCAGTGGAGGTTCAGAAGTTCCCTCATGCTCTGATCTCCATCTACTTAGTGCTGGCCTTCACACCCTTCGTTTCCTTCCTCATTGTTAATGTGGCAGCTGAAAAAGAGCAGCGTCTCAAAGACACCATGGGCATGATGGGATTGTACGACTCTGCCTTTTGGTACGTTTTTCCAATTCATGAGCAAAATTGTAATGCGTGGCACATTTAAATAGCGTTGAGTTTGTAAAATAATCTTTTGCTGTCTCCAGGCTTTCATGGGGCCTTCTCTATGCCGCCCTAGTGACTACCATGTCCATTCTGATGGCTGTTATTGCGACCTGCACGCCTCTGTTCTCCAACAGCAATTTCTTTGTCATCTTCCTCCTCATTTTCCTCTATGGAATATCCTCGGTAAGTCTTTCGGTGGCAGTCTGAAAATTAGAAACTCAAAGCTTCAGAGGAAAGCCGTTTAAATGCCTGTGCACTCGTTTGGCCTCAGGTCTCCATTTCTGCCTGCGGTGAAAGCAGTCTTGTTGAGTGACAGGCTAATCTGCCTTCATATTGAATATATTATTAGTTTTCATTTTCGTTTTGCAAGGCTAAATTGCTTTTCAGCTGTGATGGTTTTCTTTGGCGTCAGAAGGGTGTGACTGTACTGGTAAAATAACTGACTAAATGCAAATCGCTCCTTTGAGGTTTAGATACATTCTTGAATAAATGCTATATATAGTTGAAGTCTGACTTATTAGCCCTCCTGAATTAATTTTTGTTTAACTGAGAGGAATTTTTTCCAACACGTCTAAACATGATAGTTTAATAACTCATTTCTAATAACTGATTTATTATATCTTTGCCATAATGAAAGTAAATAATATTTGACTAGATATTTTATAAGACACTTCAATACAGCTTAAAGTAGCATTTAAAGGCTTGACTAGGTTAATTATGCAAGTTAGAGTATGGTTTGTTCTGTCGACAATTGAAAAAATATATTGCTTAAGGGGCTGATAATATTGAAGTTGTTTTAAAAAATACAAAACTGCTTTGATCCTAGCTGAAATAAAACAAATCAGACCTCTCCAGAGGAAAATAATATCTCAGGAAATACTGAGAAAATATTCCTTGCTTTGTTTAACGTTATTTGGGAAATATTTGAAATACAAAAATGACATGAGGGCTAAAAATTTTTGACTTCAACTGTAAATGTAATATTCAATCCATTACATTTGTGTCAGCAATACAGTGATTTAGAGTTATACCTGTAATGAGGCCTTCTTATGTTTATTTATTCAGCTGTTTAATGTCTTAGAATGTGCCAGTTTTAGCTTAAAATCTTTTCATATCATGCTGTAAATGGGCAATTTTGGGATATTTTCCCATTTTATATGAATTTTGGTTTCATCCATGGGAATTTGGCTTCACATATACATTGTGTTTTTTTGTGTGTGAATTATTGTTATTATTGAGACTAATCTAGCTCCATAGACAATACGTTCACATCGGTAATACACTTTTCTTTTCTTCTTTTATGTTGTGGAGTAAAGTGCATGTGTATCAGTATTAGACATGGCCCGGTAAAAGATTCTGATGCCATGATAACCTTGGATAAAAAAACGGTTTCACGATATTGTGCTTACTGCTCTTAAATATGTTCTTAACAAATGTCTAGGTAATAAACTAAAGCTTTTTCCCCATTGAACACAATATATTTTATTTTTAGAAACATTTAAAAAACTTCATTTATTTATTTTATTTTCAGCTTGGTCCCTTTAAAAATCCAACCCATCCAGCATATGTTTTACGCAGCGGATGCCCTTCCAGCTGCAACCCATCTCTGGGGAACACGCATACACTCTCATTCACACATACAAGAAGAATTGTAGCTTACCCAATTCACCTATAGCGCATCTCTTTGGACTGTGGGGGAAACCAGAACACATGGAGGAAACCCACACTAACATGGGGAGAACATGCCAACACACGGAAATGCCAACTGACCCAGCCGAGACTCGAACCAGCGACCTTTTTGCAGGAATGATACACTTGTCAGGCTAAATAATTAAAATGAATAATTGACTTACACATACTGTAGGAACAGTATAGCTGAATATTTTGGTGGTTTTAAAACCTTAACTTCTCCAAACAGTGGTATACCTTGAAAACGGTTATCATGCCATGCCTAATCAGTATATTAGATCCATCAAACAGCATATTTTGAACATAATGGCAACTTAAAGCACTAAACCAGGCCCTGCCACTTTGGGCATGAATTGTGTAAGTTTATGATATTGTGATGGGTAAAAAAATTGAGGTAGTTCAGAAATTGTGTTTTTAGAGAAAAATTTGCTGATATTGTTCAGGCTCAAAAAGGAACTAAGAGTTATTTAGTGTAGAAACATACTAGGACACTGGTAAATGTTTACAGAAGAGGTCTATGTTTTCATTCATTGCCAATGGACTCTTATCACAAGACTGTCTTGACACATTTAACAGTCCTCAGCATCTTTAATCCTTGAAAGTTTTTAATATTTAGATTTTTTTTTTTAATGGATGAACTTTTATATGTATTATTTTTGTATGTATTAAATCATCTTTGTGTCAAATGACAAAGAACTAATTCCTAGTAATGTGAGGTGTTTCTAACACGGCGTCTATGGGTAGGAGAGTAAATATGATGTTTTTCTCTCTTCTGGCTGCTCGTATCAGTCTTATACTTTTTTCTATATCTGAAAATATTTTCCTTTTATTATTTTAGCAAATTGGATTGTAAAAAAAAACAAAAAAACATTTGTTGTACTTTCCTATTTACTGCGTTCTAAGTTTACCCAACTATGATGATTTCCGAAACACGGAAATGTGAAAAGGGTCCATTGTTTGGATTGTGAAAACTGGCATCTGTGTGACAGGTTGAGGAGGTTAACACAAATTGAGGGATTTTCTTATTATTTTATTTTAAATGCATTGACTTCACACTCTCTACAAAACTCCCATTTTTTCCACTTCTCAATCGTGCAGATTTTCTTCTCCTTCATGTTGACCCCGTTGTTTAAGAAGCCCAAGTTTGCCAGTACGGTGGGCTCGATGCTGACGGTGGTGTTTGGCTGTCTGTCGCTCTTTACTGTGTTGATGAGAGATTTCCCTCAGTCTGCTGTGTGGCTCCTCTGCCTTCTGTCCCCCAGCGCTTTTTCTATCGGCATCGCCCAGGTAACACACAAACACACTCACACACTCTATGCTTTAATTGCAGTTTCCTAGGTTATTTAACTGCCTGCCAAGAAGCGCAGTTTTATTCAAATTTGAATAACAAATCTGTTGTACTTCCCTTAGCAATTTTGCCATGGATATACATATGCATTCAAACTATTTTATTGCGCTTCTGTTAATTTTTAAAATGTCTCAAAATAAATGAGTACACACCATTTTGAAAATTACGATTTTTTTTTTTATCCATTTCTTACTGATTATAGATCATATATTTTGGTGCATTTGAACAAAACAATTTATTGAATGAATATATTCATAAAAAATATTTTAGTCACCGAACATCTTTAGAAATGAAAAGATAATACATTTAAATTCATGTGAAATATTGGGGAAAAATACCAACTACAAAATTTCATTAAGTATTTTTTTTTATTTTTTTATTTCTTGTTTAACATTTTTTTCTTAACTGTATAAATTTGGGTGTACTCATTTTGGACCATTATCAAAAGTTATTTTGCTAGATTAGCTGCAGTACTGCTCAGTACTGACTAATCGAATATGTATGCAGAAATATAATATTGTAAAGCTTCCTATAGAAAATATTAATTTAAATGATGTCATTTATGTTGAGCACTGTATATAAGAATGGAGTACTTTAATTCAACAACTATGCCTTAAAAAGAAAGTTCACCCTGTGAACTGTTTCTACCAAAATTCTAAGCAGATCGAAGGATTCAGGGATTAGTAATTAGTAATGTAAAAAATAAAGACAGATTTGTGTCATAATTTAATTTACTGGTAAAAAAAATAGTTAAAAATATGATTAGTTAAATAAAAAAATAATTTTGGGAAAAATATGTTAAGTTAATTTAGGAAGATAATAAAAAATTTTATTGGGCACTAAATAATCAGAAATGTTTCCTCAGCAGTAATGACCGTGGAATTATAAATGATATTTTTTATTTAAAGCTATAATTTTTAATTAAAACATTATTTTTTAAATTTATTCCTAAGTGAATAAAAACAAGAAATATTACTTTTGGGGATAAAAAAATGTCTAAATTAAATTTGCGGTAAAAGTAAAAGATTTAATTGGGTACTAAATAATCAGAAATGATTCCTCTGCACCAAATCAAGTGGAAACTGAAGCCTGGTCTAATGGCTGTTGAAGTAAATTAGAAATAAATTATCTTTTGTAAATAGAATATATAATTTTTTAATGATAATCATTATTATTTGTCCCTTAATTATTCCTACCTAATTAAGTAAAAATTAGACTAAATTCAAAAATATTTTTAACAATCAACTTGTGGAATAATTGGTAGTCTAAGTAATTAATTTTACTAAACAATAAAAACACAAAGTTCCCTTAAATAAGTTGCTGTTTTTGTGTTTGTATGTGTAGGTAGTGTATCTGGAAGCTCAAGGGGATGGCGCAGTGTTCTCATCTCTGGGCAATGGTCCTCACGCTCTCTATGTTCCACTGGTCATGCTGTTTTTGGACTGCATCCTCTACCTGCTTTTAGCCATTTACCTGGACCAAGTGCTACCAGGTGATGTTAGAGTTAAATCATTTCGTATAAATCGTTCGGTATTACCGAACAGCTCATTATATAGACCATTTTGAGGGATGTAAACAATAACAATGGTCCTAATGTATTTCCTGTTTAACATTTTTAATTTCCATAGCTCCTGAGAATCCTATGAGGTCCACATATTTATGAATAACACTATGACAGCTGTTTTAATGTTGAGATATGATTGAATTGCATCTTGTTACAGTTATTAAAATAGTTTGACAACAAGCAGGAAATATTCATTGGCCAATGGTATCACCCCATTGAAATGGTCTATTTTATGTATATTTTTAGTCCAGAACTATTATTATTATTATTATTATTATTATTTTATTTATTTATTTATTTATTTATTTTGCTGTGGATCCTTTTCACATTTACGGGTTTCTAAGCAGTATAAGTTATGTGAAAAGCAGTGGAAGTTAGTTGTTTTTGTATTTATATTTGGTCAAATAATAAAAGAAAACCTCCACGATAGTGTTTACATGACTTTTAAACAGCAGCCAGATGAGAGAACAATGACAAATTTACTTAATAAAACTGTATTTAGCATTTTCGTATAAATGGTTATTACTTTTTTATAAGTTGATGCAAAGAGCATATAATACAAAGTACAGATTTATAAATGTAATTACATATCTATATATTTTAAATCAAGATATTAAAAACCTTTAAGGAATAAAGATGTTGATTACCATCATCACTATCTTATGAAGAGGGTTCATTAAACCAGGTGTCTTTTCTTAAAAGACTTTCAAAGAGGACATTCTGTTAGGTTCTAAATGCAACAATTCTTTTGTAAAGTTTAACTACATTTGCAGATGCAGCTTCAGAAAACCACATGTTTTTTGACTATGCTACTTTCTACACCTAAGTATCTTTTTAGTTGTTTTGATGTTGGATGGAGGCGTTTTTGTGACCTTTCCACTTTAATGGGCATTTCTTCCTTCAGGCGAGTTTGGCACAAAACGCTCAGTGTTGTATTTTCTAAAACCATCCTATTGGTCCAAGCGGAGGAAGCGATATGTCGAGGTGAGCTCTGTGTATGAGGGCGAAGTAAACGGGACGCCTGCAATCGACGAATCGGTGGAGGCTGTTTCTCCTGAGTTCAGAGGCAAAGAGGTTATCAGGTACAGACTCCATTCTCAAACTGACCAGTGGCCACGAAATAATGTTTTTTAGCCATTTTCTATCATTTTAAATGAATTTTTTGAGGTTCAAAAAAGTAAAAAAAAATTTTTTATATATATATATATATATATATATATATATATATATATATATATATATATATATATAGATAGATAGATAGATAGATAGATAGATAGATAGATAGATAGATAGATAGATAGATAGATAGATAGATAGATAGATAGATAGATAGATAGATAGATAGATAGATAGATAGATAGATAGATAGATATTTATTTATTTATTTATTTATTTTTTTGACAATTCATAACCCTGACACTTTCTTTAGTTATGTTTATTTGTATTTTGTTTATTATTATTATTATTTTTATTTATTACGATTCATTTAGCTGTGGCCACCACAGATGAAAATTGAATGAATTATTATTTTATATTATTATTTTTGTTAGTTTTGATTTCTCTTTGTAATCAAAGCATCTTTATCGTTATCTAACTACAGTGGCCACTAAGTACCACTAAGTTCAATCCTATTCAAATGATGTTTTATATTTGTTCTAGGTTTTTGCTTTATTATTAAATGGCTCAATGGTGAGATTTCTAATTTTTACAAAGGTAATTTCATGTTGATAGAAGGCAATTTGCTTTCAGTTTATATGCTTACACTGATGTTTCAAAAAACTTCAGTGAAAATGAAACAGTAAAATATGGGGTAAATAATAATGTTCCCTCATCATTCTTTCAGTGTAACGCATTTATGTGATGTAAATGTCAATGTTATGTATGTAAAAATCACTGTTAGACTCTTTGGAAAACCATAAAGTCTTATTTCATTGTTATTTATTTATGCCACCAATTTGCTTGATTCACTCCTCTACAAGATTATTACAATCACTTTGGAATCACTCAATTCCAAATAGAGCTAATAAAGTCATCTGCTGAAATCGTATCCAATATCACAATATAAATCGGAGAAAAATGAAATGTCGTTTTTGAAATTTCCAAATGTGTGCAGGCTTAGTTAAGATATTTCTTTTTTCAGTATATGAAGTATATGTAAACTCAATGGCGTTTTAGTTGGTGTCTTCTTTTAAATCACTGTTCACATTTGACCAAATGTATTTTGTATATTTGATGTTGTGCAGTGATTTAGGGAGCAGTTTGGGAAAGGGACCAGTGTTTTTTTAGATTTGATGTGTTAAAATCCTTCAAAGCCCTGGGTAGATTTGGGCTTCGAAGAGAGCTGGCATGCAGCCAGAATGACCATTTAATATCCATCACAAGCTTTCTGTGTTTATATTTTTATTCCTGTTAGGATTTGCAATATCCGAAAAATTTATCGGGAGAAGGATACCAAAGTGGAGGCTTTAAGAGGTGAGACTACCCACCTTTAATCTATCTTCATGACCAAGCATTATGCAGCTCTTGAGCAGTATTGATGTCTAAAATGATTCCTGTGTATTGCTGATTAAATGTTTATTAAATAGATAGTTCACCCAAAAAATTAAAATTTTACTCTCCCTCAAGTACACTAGGTTGACTCCTAGTATTTATTATGTATTTATTATTATGTATTTATTGAATAATGATTCACCACAAACTTGTAATTACTTTCAAGTGGCTCTCATGATGAAAACATATTTTATTAAAATGTCAGTTTACGTACAATTAGACCTTAAGATTTTTATAGTCAAAGTATTTTGGATTATTTTAGAAAAGGTATCACCAGGAAGAACTTTAAGTTATCAAATATTGAAATGAAAAAAAAAAAAACTTTTAATATACAACTTTTATAATATACTTTTGATATATTTTTATTTAACTTTTAATATACATTTTTTGTGAATTTTATTTATTTCTATGTATGTATGTTGTTTTTATCATGTAATGTTTTATATATTGATCTTGCCATAAGTTGCTGATGGCGCAACAAATTAATAAACAAGCTGAAAGACTATGTGCATTTTAGTTCAATTGAATTTACATTGAATGAACTCTTATGTGATCAATTGTCTGTATGTTGGGGTAACCTGTGCTTCAACCCCCACAAACTGAACTAAATGACCCTTTTATCACGAGTGTGACCCTTTTGAGTTCTTAATGGGTATAAGCCAAACGACAGCTGAAACATCTGATTAGAGGGTCCTGCTGAGTCTCGTGAACACAGAATGGTTTGTTTGATGCTAGTATAAAGTACTGTCTCACAGATAGTACTTTGGGTTAAGTTAATTGAAGACCGATGAGTTAACATCACAGCTGAGGAACTGCACTATTCATTGTCTTCAATAAAGTTTTCTCCCCATGAGAACTTTAGTCAGCTTGCTTATTTTATTTATTAGAGCAGTGGTTCTCAAACTGTGGTACATGTACCACAAGTGGTACGCAGGCTTCCTACTAGTGGTACGTGGAGGAATCGATCAATAATTCAAGTAAAAAAAAAACACACACTTTTTACCCTTTGACTCATTCGAAAACAACAATGTGATCAGGAAATTGATTTTAATGGTCTAAACTTTTGATTTTATTGAATTTTTCTAATGTTTGTTATGTATTCTATTATTTAAGGGTTATTTTCCTCCGCATTCTTATAACGGTTGTTGGGGGCGTATCTTGTATTTTTATATCCCGATGTTGACAGGTATAGTTCAATTACTTGCTTCTCTGACACTCACAGCCTACTCTAAGAGCAGTAAGCAGATCTAATTTCTAATTTGAATATGTAAATCCAAATCATATATTTAAAATACAAGTTAACGTTTGGGGCTCTATTTTGACGGTCCATGCGCAAAGTGCAAAAAGCAAAGCGCAGGGCGCAAACGCTTTCAGGGCGTGTCAGAATCCACTTTTGCTAATATAAGGATGGAAAAATCCGCTTTGCGTCGCGACACATTGCGCTGGGTGTATAATAGGGCCCTTTGATTTTTAAAGATATACATAAATACATGCAACATAAATTTCAAAATTTATCAAACATAGTTGTATGTGAATATTAAGACATGCGGTATACCCGATAATTATGAGGTCCAAGAAACATTTGCAGGTTTTGATGAATAGGCAACTTTATGATAAAAAAATAAACATTTAAGTACAGCAGTTTCCTTTTAACTTTTTAAGAACAGTGCCATTTTTAATTAACTTTTAAAATCACATTTTAGGTTAAACGTTGTTGTTGTTTTATTTATCTTTTTGTTTTAACCTGCAAGTGTGTATTTGTTCAAACTATTTATTATGTTTAAGGTGGCTGACAATAATAAATATTCATAATAATAAGAATTAATCTGTAGTTTTGTAGTAAGCTGTAGCCGCTTAATTAGGCCTACTATGTATTTCAATACCAGTCATTATGGTGTACTTGGAGAGACAATTTGTTTCTGAGGTGGTACTTGGTGAAAAAAGTTTGAGAACCACTGTATAGAGAAATCTAATACATTAGCGAGCCACCCAAGAACGGTTTAGGCAAATACAGCAACATCTAACAATACAAACAAACTCTGCCTCTAGTGGTTTCAAGCCTTTAGAAATTCCTATTTTTTGTTGGAGATATTATGAAGATTACTAAAAACCTCTAACCATTGACTTTCATAAAATTTGTTTTTCTTTATTATTAATTAAAAAAAGGTAAAGGATATGTAAATCTACATTGAATGTAGATTTTTTTGGGTGAAATATTATTTTAAATGCAAAGGCATTTGCAACCATTTTTTACTTTTGCACAACTAAAGAATCTCATAATGCATTTGAATGGTCTTCAAAATCCAGTTTTACTATAATGCATTGATTTATTTGGTCTTATTTCTGCTTGGGATCAAAAGGGTTGACCTTTGACATCTATGAGGGTCAAATCACAGCCCTGCTGGGTCACAGTGGAGCAGGAAAATCTACCCTGATGAACATCCTGTGTGGTATTTGCCCTCCTACGGAAGGTCAGATTTGTGATGCATGGATGCTAGTTTTTTTTTGTACTCTTAAACTGTAATTTTATCTGAGTTTCTGTACTTTGCTTGAAACGACTCCTTTCACACTTCCATCTGTCTTATGTTTACCCATAGGCACAGCCACCATCTATGGCTCTCCAGTGGCAGAGATCGCAGAGGGGGCTGAGATGAAGCAGCTGGTTGGTATTTGCCCCCAGTTCAACATAATCTTTGATGTGCTCACCGTAGAGGAACACCTGAGGATCTTTGCCGCCATCAAAGGGATCCTGCCCTCTGATATTGACGGTGAGGTAGGAACTCCTAGTGGATCTAGAGAGCACATCAGCTGACCGCATGTTCACTCATTGGGAAATGCAGAAGCGAACATCACTACATCTACATGCAGCTGATTTGACAATAAATCCACCCTGCATAATCTGATTCATTCATTATAAAGTGACCAAACGCTATTCTCGGCAGTCTTGGTTCAAGAAGTTTTTTTTTTGTTTTTACTGATTTGTACAGGTACATTACTATTCAAAAGTTTGGGGTTGGTAAGTCTGCATTTATAAAAAAAGAGCCATAAAAACAATAATATTTGAAAGGGTAAAGCAGGATTTTCTGTAACATTTTCCTTCATTTTTAAATTATAATCCAAAAATCATTCCAGTGTGTTGTTTTGATGCTCAGGAAATGTTTTTTGATCATTTATTTAAAATAGTGTTTATTTTAAAAATCATTTATTTATTTATTATTTAATTTGACTTTCAGAAATCTTTCAGTAATATTTTTTGATTTTTACATGACATTCCAGAAATCATTCCAATGCGTTGGTTTGAAATGTTTGTTTGTTTGTTTGTTTGTTTGTTTGTTTTATTTTTTAAATATTTTTATATTTTATTAAATAGTATTTTTTTAATTAATTTTAATAAATTACCAAAATTTAATAAAACTAACACTAAAAACTATTTAATAAAATATTAAATAAGTAAATAATATAAATAAATAAATAAGTAATAATATAAATAAATTATGTATAATTTAATTATTTATTATTATAACATTATTATTATTATTTTATTTTATTTATTTTTTATTTCTTTCATTTTTTTAATATAATGTTCAGAAGAACAGCATATGTTTAAAATGACATATATATTATTCATGACAAAATGTAAAATATTACAGTAATTTTTCTTTTATTTTTACACTATATTCCAGAAATCATTCCAATTCGTTTTTTGATACTCAGGAATTTTTTATTTTATTTTATTAATGTTTTATTCAATATTTTTTTATTTTATTAAAACCTTGTTATATATTTAATTTATTAGTAATATTATTTTAGTAATTTTTTTTTTCATTTTTACTCTATTCCAGAAATCATTCCAATGCGTTTTTTAATGGTTATGAAATCTTTATTTATTTAATATTTTATTATATAAAATTTCATTTCAAACATTATTATACATTTATTATTCAATAATTCAATAAATGATTTTCCAGGCATCTTTTTTTTGTGTGTGTTTTCTGCTTTAAAATATCTCTCTTTTTAAGGTAAGGAAAGTTCTAAAGGATCTGGATTTGGAAAAGATTATGGATGCTCTGGCAAAAAACCTCAGTGGAGGCCAGAAGAGGAAGCTCTCTGTGGGCATAGCCATTCTTGGAGATCCCAAGGTAAACGTCTGACAGCTTATAACTCTGACTTGTTGATCCGTTATCTTATTTATCCATCTACTTCAAATTTTTTTTTTTCGTTTATGAATCAGATCCTCCTTTTGGATGAGCCTACAGCTGGTATGGACCCAGTGTCTCGGCACCAGGTTTGGTCTTTACTGAAGAGCCGTAGAGCAGGCAGAGTTACAGTTCTCAGCACTCACTATATGGATGAGGCTGATATACTTGCAGGTGCTTCTCTCATTTTTCTCTTCCATCAGTCATTTTCTCAGTCTCTTTTCTCATGCACCTCTCTGTGTTTTCTGTAACACAGATCGTAAAGCTGTCATCTCGCAAGGACAGCTCAAGTGTGTTGGCTCTTCTTTGTACCTGAAGACCAAGTGTGGAGTTGGGTATCATCTTAGGTTAGTTTGGTATTTGTTCTAATGTAAAATACTATTGTGTTGTATTATAAAGTCATGGTTTGGCATGTGTTTAGGGCAGCAGGCTGGAAAAACTCTTATGTCCTAAAGGGATAGTTCACCCAATATTGAAACTCAAGTGGCTCCAAACATTATTTCTTACTTCTGTTGAACACATAAGAAGATATTTTGAAGAAAGTTGAAAACCGGTAACCATTGACTTCTATAGTAGAAACAATACTATGGAAGTCAATGGTTACAGGCTTCCAACATCTTTCGAAGTATCTTTTTTGTGTTTAAAAGAAGAAAGAAAATTAAAAATGTTTGTATGAAGTGTGAGTAATTGATGACAATTAAAATTTTTGGATGAACCATTCCTTTATTTTTATTAAATAGGGGGTTATCTAAACAAATTATGGCTCTGTCTTTTAAATTCATTATCTTTATTTAATTGTATTATATTACAGTTTTCTTGATGATGAAATATGTTACACATATGCTTATTCATTGTGCCGGCTGTGACCATGGTACTGCAGCACAGTTCCTAGATTATTATGCCAAATGAGACTGTAGTTCCTAGCCATATCAACCTAGAACATAACTTTTACTTTTGTGTCGTTCTACATACCTATAACTACACTGAAACCATATGATTCAAAGATTAATCCTTGGTACTGCAACAAAGTTCCTTGATTATTACAACAGAATAAAAGTATAGTTCCTAGCCTTATTAACCTAGAATATACCTTTTTATTTTTGTTGGTCTTAGTATATGATCTAACTACAGAACAGTCAAGCATTTAAAGATGTTTTTGTGTGTGTTTTGAGTGAGATGCTAATGGTCTAACCCAATTAAATGGTCTATGCTAAGCTAAGCTAAAAGTGCGCCTACCAGATTCTGGACCGTGGCTCTGTTTTTAATTATAATTAGTCAATTATAGTTACAGTTTTCTTGATTATTAAAGCTGTTTATTTACAGTTCCTTGATTATTACACCAGAATTAGAGTGTAGCTCTTAGCCATATCAACCTAGATTATAACTTAATTTTTTGTCCGTCTTAATATGTGATCTAATCCGATTCAATGATCTATGCTATGCTAAGCTAAAAGTGCTCCTACCAGACTCTGGACTGTGGTTATGTCTTTAATTAAAATTAGTCAATTATAATTACAGATTTCTTGATGATTAAAACTGTTCAAATGTATGTTTATTCATTGTACCTGCTGCAGCCATGGTACTGCTGCAAAGTTTCTTGATTATTACACTAGAATTAGAGTGTAGCTCCTAGTCATATCCAACTAGAATCTAACTTTTCATTTTCTGTCCATCTTAATACATGATCTAACTACAGAAAAGTCAAGCTTTTTAAACTGTTTTTTATTTTCCCCAAGCAAAATGCTAATGGTCTAATCTGATTCAATGATCTATGCTAAGCTAAGCTAAAAGTGCTCTCACCAGACCCTGGACTGTGGTTCTATTTTTAATTGTAATTAGTCAATTATACTTACAATTTTCTTGATGATTAAAACTTTACATTTATGTTTATTCATTGAGCCTGCTGCATCCATGGTACTAGATCAAAGTTCCTTGATTATTACACCAGGATGAGAGTGTAGTTCCTTGCCAAATAAGCCTAGAAAATACCTTTTCATTTTTTGTTGGTCTTAAAACATAATGTAACTACAGAATAGTCAGACTTTATATAGGAAAATTATTAAAATATTTATTTATTTATTTTATTTGAGCAAGATGCTCAATATTAAATACAGATTATTATTATTTTTTTATTAACATATAATAGTCACTGATTAAAACAACACTGGGCTTGTTTGATATTTAAACATATGTATTATCATTATTTATTGTTTGTTTTAATTTAAATACTGCATGTGTGCAAACACTAAGCAGCGTTCTTTCTTTACCTCTTCCAGAATGTCAGTGACTGAAGGCTGTGAGGTGGAGGGCATCACGTCGCTGGTCAAGCAGCATGTTCCCAAAGCTCAGTTGTCAAGGCAGCAAGAGGCTGAGCTTACATTCACTCTGCCTTTCGAGAGCATGGACACCTTTCCAGGTCTCGCTTCTGTTTGCCCTCATGCCACCATCTGCTCTGCGCCATGCTGCCATATGCCCTGCGGAGCAACAGATTGTCATGCTTTTACCAGGGCTGTGGTGGCATTTTATCAAGGCTCTTTTATTTATTCATTTAGATTTACATTGTGGTCTTAAATATGAAGTCTGTGTTGTGGACTTTACTCAACTTCTTGACTTTCCCAACCCGTGTGACTTGCTTGGTTTGTTCTAGAACAAGGTATGTTAAAGGGATAGTTCACCCAAAAATTAATCACTATTTAGTCACCCTTCACTTGTTTAAACCTGTTTGAGTTTCTGTTGAACAGAAAGATATTTTACAGAAAATCTGTAACCGTTGACATCCATAGTAGGAAAAACAAATACTATGGAAGTCAAGGATTCCAGGAAAGAAAGTCAGAGTTTGGAACAAGTGGAGGGGGAGTAAATTATAGTACATAAATTTTCAGTTTTGGGTGAACCTATTCCATTAAGGGAGAGTTTAGAGGCAAGAGTTTTGGCGGGAAGAGTTTGGTGGAAAGAGTTCAAAAAAGAAGAGATAAAAAAATAAGTGTTTTGGAGGGAAGAGTTTAAAGAGGGAAGAGTTTATAAAGAAAAAATTTTGGAGGTAAAAGTTTTGGAGGAAAGCATTTTGGAGGCAAGAGTTTAGAGGGAAGAGTTACAAAATAAGTGTGGAGGTAAAAGTTTTGAAGGAAAGAGTTTAAAAAGAAAAAGTTGTGGAGGAAAAGTTTAAAAAGGAAGAGTTTTGCAGGGAAACGTTTACAAAAGAAGAGTTTTGGAGGCAAAAGTTTATAATGGAAGAGTTTTGGAGGGTAGAGTTTAAAAAGGAAGATGTTTTGGAGGGAAGAGTTTAAAAAAGAAGAGTTTTGGAGGAAAGAGATTAAAAAGGAAGAGTTTTGGAGGGAAAGGTTTAAAAAGGAAAAGTTTTAGAGGGAAGAGTTAGTAGGAAGAGTTAAAAAAAATAATTTTGAAGGGAATAGTTTCAAAGGGGAAGAGTTTTAATGGGAAAGAGTTTAAAAAATGAAAGGAATGAATGAACACCATTTTGGAATGATATAAGGGCTAGAGTGTTTTTTTGTTGTAAATTTATGATGTTTAGTTTTCTTGTCCACTAAACATGTACTCATCATTTCTACGGTTACCAAAATCTCTCCTGTCAACCGTGTTTCTCTCTAGGGCTGTTTGCGGAGCTGGACTGTCGACCAGACCTGGGTATCATTAACTACGGTGTCTCCATGACAACATTAGAGGATGTATTCTTGCGTCTGGAGGCGGAAGCAGAGGTGGATCAGGCTGGTAAGATTGCCACCTGCCTAAGGCTACATGTACACTAGTGCAGTTTCATTTAAAACACACACACATTTTGCTAGATTTATGTGTGGGATCATTATTACTCTAGAGGTACAGTTTTTTATTTTTTTATCATTTTTTATTTATTTTTTTGTTTAAACTCTTGCCTTTTTATTAGATGGACCAAAACACAAACTTTTAATAGATATTTAATAGAAGCTGAGATAGCAGAAAGTTCTTTCTTTCTTTCTTTCTTTCTTACTCTTTCTCTTTCTTTTTTCTTACTCTTTCTTTCTTTCTTACTCTTTCTTTCTTTCTTTCTTTCTTTCTTTCTTACTCTTTCTCTTTCTTTTTTCTTACTCTTTCTTTCTTTCTTACTCTTTCTTTCTTTCTTTCTTTCTTACTCTTTCTTTCTTACTCTTTCTTTCTTTCTTTCTTACTCTTTCTTACTCTTTCTTTCTTTCTTACTCTTTCTCTTTCTTTCTTTCTTACTCTTTCTTACTCTTTCTTTCTTTCTTTCTTTCTTTCTTTCTTACTCTTTCTCTTTCTTTTTTCTTACTCTTTCTTTCTTTCTTACTTTTTCTTTCTTTCTTACTCTTTCTTTCTTACTCTTTCTTTCTTTCTTTCTTTCTTACTCTTTCTTACTCTTTCTTACTCTTTCTTTCTTTCTTACTCTTTCTTTCTTTCTTACTCTTTCTTTCTTTCTTACTCTTTCTCTTTCTTTCTTTCTTTCTTTCTTTCTTTCTTTCTTTCTTTCTTTCTTTCTTTCTTTCTTACTCTTTCTTTCTTTCTTTCTTTCTTACTCTTTCTCTTTCTTCCTTTCCTACTCTTTCTCTTTCTTTCATTCTTTCTTACTCTTTCTTCCTTTCTTACTCTTTCTCTTTCTTTCTTTCTTTCTTTCTTACTCTTTCTCTTTATTTCATTCTTTCTTACTCTTTCTCTTTCTTTCATTCTTTCTTTCTTGTTCTTTTTCTTGCTTTCTTTTTTTTCTTTCTTTCTGACATCGCAGTCGAACAAACGCATAAATATAGGTTTTCTGCTTAGTTTCAATGGTCAGTTATACAGTCTATAGCAGTTGCACCAACCAACCACACTGCTAAATAATGTTCTAAATGGATACTGAAACGCGAGTAAAGTGCAAAAACTTTTATCCATAAAGAAATTCATAATGTAACAAACGATTCCTTAATTATCATTAAAAACAATTGTATTGATCTGATTAAGCAATTATTTGTTTGCCTTTCATTTAATTTAATGTTTAAATGTCTATACAGTGTACAAATTAGACATGTTGTTCATAATAAATGTGATGCTTGATTTAATGAATTGAGGTTTTTATCTGAATAAATATTTATTTTATCTGAACAACACGTCAACTTTAATGTGACTAAACTGTTTAATTCTAGACGTATGTATAACAGATTAGTTAATTTATTTAATTGCTGTATATACAGTTTTGTACTAATGTAGTTACTTATAATTTGAATTGTAATTTGTTTTATTTAAAAAATACATAGGCAACTGTTTTGTACTGCTATTTCTATAGCTACTTTATCTTCCAAATTTTTTTCTGTCATGTTGTTTGCATGGAGATCTTTTCTGAAACTCAATAGATGCATTTAATTTTAAAACACCATGTTTACATGAAAGCACACTAATGTATAACCAAACTGGTTCATAGCATCTCTATGCCATAAATTTTAACCAGCCATGGTGATACTCAAGATATATAATGGCTCCTCTCTATCTGTGTGTGTTTCTTCACTGCCAGACTACAGTGTCTTTAACCAGGAAAAAGTGGAAGAAGAGGGAGATGCGTCCTCTATGGATGACACAGACCAGAGGCTGCTGACGTTTTCAGACAGCAGACAGGACACAGTAACTGGTCATGCCCTCTGGAGGCAGCAGTTTAGCACAGTGGCCTGGCTGCACATGCTCAACCTCCAGAGAGAGAGAAAACCTATTATATACAAGTGAGCAAAGTACTAGCTGTTTTTGAAATGGCTCAGGTACATTCTATGTACTAGTGTGATTGTAGTTAGTATAATTGAAATCCAGACAAACTTCATTTGTCCTGTGGCCAAATGAAATGTTAAAGTTTATATGGTATACATGCATTAGAATATTGATTATTTTGGCACTTCTCACTCAATATTTTATGAATACTTTAAATTTTGAGGTAGTACTTTTTTAGCCTTGCATCTAAGAGCAAAAGTTTTGATTTCATAGTACATGTGTGTTCACGGCACACTGTTTTATTAAAGCATGCAATACATGTTGTGTTAAAGTTTTAAATTGACAGGGGTAGTTTAAATGCACCATTCTTTTATTCATTTTCTTTCCAATTTAGTGCCTTTATTAATAAGGGGTCACTACAGCAGAATAAGCCACCAACCTATCACAGGGGATGCCCTTTCAGCTGCAAGGACTGTGTATTAATCATAACAAAAATAAAGATAATGCTATTAAACACCTCTGTTTAAAACATTTAACTGAATTTGTAATGAAGCGGGGTAATTCTGATTGTGGTTATTTCTTTATGGCTAAGAAACATTTAACTAATAAATTTTTTTTTAAATATAATGCAATAGTATTATTACTGTTTCATGAAATATCTGTTTTTGTTGTGTAGTCTTGGGGAGCATTTTAATTTAGTTTTACACGTCGCTGACATTTTTTATTTTATAACCCAGGCTGCTCTCAAAGCCATACAACTGCACAGAATCAGATGAAAAGGGTCTTAAGCCTCCTTTCCACTGCACACGACAAACGACAAGCGACAGACCGGAAGTCATTCGTTTCCAATAGAGAGTAGTACGGGGCCTGCTTGGAGTCCCGATCATCTCTGTATGGGGAATTGGAGTCAAATTGAGCTGTGGATCCGTTAAAATATTTTGAAATATAACTCCTGCGACCGGCCAACCGGATGTGATGTATTCCATCACATACATTCCATGTGATGTATTCCAGTGATGTATTCCATTAAAAAAAAAAACATTTCTATCCATAAACGTAAGTAAAAAAAGTAATTAAAATATATATTTTTATGTTGTCTCCACATTCCCTCCAATATTTTTAGCGGTCTATTAGTTTCTAGTATATATTCATTCATTCATTCAACCATGGTGAACGCACAGAGAATAATTGCTCTTGTAATGGTACTCTTTTATTTCGGACACTGCGCGAAAAGCTTCACTCCCATATTGCATGTCAGAACTGAAAATTCTGTGCAACTGCCACAAGGGGGCGTATTCCGACAGTCGTGTCCAAATGTCGTGTGCAGTGGAAAAGTGGCTTTACTATATGTAAGACTCATGTTGTGCAGTTAATGGCAACATTATTAGCCCTCTCGTCAAATATTTATTCGCTTTAAAATATTTCTCAAGTGATATTTAAGAGCAAGAAATTTTTCCCAGTATTTCTGATAATATTCTTTCTTCTTTAGAAAGTCGTATTTGTTTTATTTTGGCTAGACTAAAACAAGTTTTATTTGTCAATATTATTGGCCTCCTTAAGCAATCAATTGGCTACAAACCAAAGATAAAATAAATCAGCTATTAGACATGAGTTATTATGTTTAGAAATGTTGACAAAATCTCTCTGTTAAACAGAACTATAAAAACAATGAATATAAAATTAAACTTCACATAGCTGCTCTGTAAGTCACACTTCTGTCTTTTTTTTCCACCCAGTTTGACGCTGTTCGTAGTTTTTTTGTCTGCGATGCTGATTCTCTCCGTGGCCACAGGAAACATTCAGATCCATTCTCCTGAAAGACTGTTTTCACCAATATACCTGCTGCGCCGCAATGAGGCTCCTCACAAATACACCACCAGCCTGCTCGTGCAAAACTCCACCGGTCAGTGACACTGTTCATGCCTATTATAATGAGCTGGATATTTGATGCCATTGGTCAAATCAATTTCATGCAGACTTTTTAAACACAAACTATGTGTGTTGGACAGATTCTGACCTATCAGGGTTCATCCACAATCTGCAGTCTCAGGATATTAAAGTGGAAATGATGAAAAAACTGGACTACATGTCTGCAGCACCGGTCAGCGCCGCCATCAACGTGACTGGACCCAGTAAGGTGAGTGAGAGAACTGCATGCGCTCGCTGGGATTTTGGAATTAATCTTTTTAAAGTTTTGCTGATTGCAGAATGTTTAATTAGTGAGGCTAATTTGAATAATTGTGAACACTGCCATCTAAACCTTGGTACACATCAAATATGCTGAAACAGACACTGCTGATAAAGTTTTCAAACACGCTGGTGTGGTTAGAGCAAATATCATAAGATGCCATCATTAAATACTCAAGCATATGTGTTGGTGTTGTATTTTTTTTCTCCTAATCGTCTTGATGTGGCCCATTACAGTTCAGTAAAGGCATCAAACATGCGTCTTTTTGTGTTGTATTCTCTTTATTTACATTTTGCATTACTACTCTTTTTTTTACTTTATTTCTCTTTTTTTACAATCATAGAAAGTACAGAATAATCAAGCATATGTGTTGTTGTTGTTGTTGTTGTTGTTGTTTTCTCCTAATCATTGTGATGTTGCCCATTATAGTTCCGAAAAGGGATCAGACATTCATCACGTGTTGTTTTCTTTTTATTTATGTGTGTGATGGGGGAAATACTGTAATTTGTATACAGTATTAAACTCTTCATAAGTTCTCATCTGGCAAATAAAAGTGGTAAAAAGGGATTTAAGTCAAATACATAGCATCATTTTGGATCTTTAGTAGGTTAGGTGTTTTTTTGTTAAGGGCCGGGTATTGAATCTTTTGCATTTAAACTACATTTGTAAGGTTGAACTGGAGAAACCAGTTCTTAATGTTATTTTCTTTTGTTGTTTTTTTTTTGTAGCAAATAAAACTAAGAGAGCTAAACTACAAGTGTAAACACTCTTAAAATAACTGCTAATAATTGGATTGTTTATTTGTTTATTTATTTATTTTATTTTATTATATTATTTATTTTATTTTAATATATATGAGAGTAGTAAGATTTATTTACAGATAAGTAACATATCTTAATTAATTTTTTTATTTATCTCATTTATTTTGTTCATATTTATTTCATATTTATTTATTTATTTACTAATATTTTTTATTATATATTTTTTCTTTGGCATTTTAAAATGTTTGTTGTCCCATCTCTAATCCTTTCTTTGTTCTCTTTGTGTGACTTACAGGATTTTACCTACATTTTAGCGTTTAACAGCACCACTGTGCACTCTTTGCCCATGGCTGTGAATGTGCTCAGTAATGCTCTCCTGAGAGGTTATAATGGCACTGGACACATTAGAACATGGTCCAAACCCTTTGATTATGTAAGTGCAGTGCTCTAAAACATCAAAGTCAACACATTAATTTTGCGGTTTTCTGTTTCTAGAAACATTTTGTTTGTGTTTTTAGCAAATTCCAGATAAAACATCTTATGCACTGGTTTACATTGAAGCTGTGATTCTTGGGATGCTGGCTGCTGGGATGCCAGCTTACTTCGCAATGGACCACACAAGAGACAGAGAAGTATGTCGTTTGGGTTGTAATTTATTTCAATTGACCATTTAAATTTAACTAATAAAACACATTCTTAGTTATGCATATACAGATCTACAGTACTTTTTACTATAAACTCTAAAGAGTTAGAGTTAATAATCTTTCTTTGTATTATAAATTAATTCTATTATTTATATGAAATATAAATTGGACAAAATTAAAATTAAGCAAAACAACTTTTTTTACACTTTCATTTTTTTCTATAAATTATATGAATTGTCCTATATATATAAAAAAAAACAATCCTCAAAAATATTAGGCTATGCAGCACTACTACTAATATTAATAATTAGTATTATTTTGTCAAAAATTTTAATAATTAGAAGAAATCTTTAAAGCCTTAGATCAGTGTAGTGGAACTTTTTCTAAAATATTGTGTGATCCTAAAGACTAAAGTTTTCTATAAGATATTTGTTTGATCTATATTTTCAGTTGGTGGCCAAATAAGTTGTGTGGTAACATAGCTAAGCAATACTTGAATGCTTAAATCCAAAATTAAACAAAAATTCCTTTAGGGGTGATTATTAACTCAGTGCTCTTTGGGATAAGGGATTTATAAAGAAAAAACAAGGAAATCATGAGTCCAAGGCACTCAGAGTAAGCAAAAAAATTAAAGAACATTGGCTATTATTTTAAAAACAGTACTATTGCACAGTGTTTCAGCAAAACTTGCCAGGGTGACAATCTTCAGGTACATCTGAAGTTCATTTGAAAATTCAATGGTCACATGACTTAAATATGGAAACCATACAGATAATAATGCATCCAACACAATAAAGTCAACTTAGTCATTATTAATTCAGTAATAGAAGAGAGGAGAGAAAAAAATGATGAGAATAATAATAATTATAATAATAATAATTAGACTTATGATTTCGTTGTTTATCTTTATGTATACTTGAATGCCTTTAGAAATGTACATTTTATATAATACATAACTACTTTAAAAGATGTTTCTTATTTTATATGCATGTTTTTAAATTGATTTATTTTTTAACTTGTTGAACCCCTCTTTCTTCTCTTAATTTTAGCTGAAGTGTCGCTCAACGTTGAGGATCTCTGGTCTTGTTCCTTCTGCGTACTGGTGCGGTCAGGCAGCTATCGATGTCCCGTTCTATTATCTGATCTTAACCTGCATGACCAGCACCCTCTTTGCCTTCCATTCTACAAACCTGCTAACCTCTCATAACATCTTGTCTGTGGTAAGAAAATCTCACAGACATGTCACAGTACAACCAAGACATTTATATTGTACAAGTTATTTTTCACTTCAAGAAGATAGCATAGCATAGAAGGTTACAGTCTGACTCGTTTCTTCTTTTTCAGGCTCTTTGTCTGATTGGCTTTTCTCCAGCCATGGTTCTCTTCACATACTGCGTGTCCTTCATGTTTGTCAGAGTCCAGAGCAATAGAGACTTCTTCTCTGTTGTCTCAATGATGGTGAGTCTTCACACAGCTTTCCTATGACCTTCAGATAATATTAATATAGAACAATTGTGTTCAGTCTTTCTCAAGTCATGGAAAAGTCATTGGGTCAAAGATGAGATGTTACATTTTGGTGTGCACATCAAATTAAATGTACAAGTTTTTTTTATATTGATTGCAAAAAGTAATGTTCTTACTTTTTTTTCTGTGAGAATGTCCAAGCTAAAAAAAATTTGGCTTGTTTTCAGAAATAATAAGTCAAAATTAGGTGTGTTTTCCGTAAAATGTGCAAAACTATGTGCCAATCAGGAAAACAAAATATTCTTATATCAAAGCGAAAAGAAGATTATTTTCCTTACCTCAAGGAAAACTCAATTAAATTTGATGTATTATTTCTGAAAACAATGTTTTTTGTTTGTCTATGAATCTTTTTCTTGATTTAAACATTTTTTTAATATTTGGACTAGAACCTAGACAAAAACTCATTTTTTTGCAGTTCACATTAAAGTGTGTACTTTAGTGTTTCAAATGACATTTTGTAAACATTTTTGTAGAAACATGGCTGAAAATTGTTATATATTTTGGAATCTACTTGCTATAATATGTAAGTGAATAGGTGATCGAGGTAAATTTGATTTATATCATAAATGATTAAAAAGCACATGCTGTCAAATGGGTGAAACCTAGTGGTTTATCCTAATTTGAAGATTAAAAATAACAATTTAGTATATTGTGGCTGTATATTATGGATGACCATTAAATTATGTTTTTTTTATTTAGTCACTATTATTCTAAATAAACCTCACAGAATTTTTGTGATTATACAGTTAAAGTCAGAATTATCAGCCCCCTGAATTAATACCCCCCTGTATATTTTTCCCCCAATTTATGTTTAACTGAGAGATTTTTTCAGCACATTTCTAAACATAATAGTTTTAATAACTCATGTTTAATAACTGATTTATTTATCTTTGCCATGATGACAGTAAATAATACTGTCTAAAAACTAGATATTTTTCAAGACACTTTTATACTGCTTAAAGTGACATGGAAAGGCTTAACTAGGTTAATCAGGGTAATTAGGCAAGTCATTGTATAACAATGGTTTGTTCTGTAGACTTTAGACCTTAAAATGGTGTCTAATAATTCTGACTTCATCTATCTATCTATTTATCTATCTATAAATATATTTACTTTATTATTTATAATATTTCATTATGTGAGAAATGAGATGTTTTTTTTTTCTTCTAAATCAAACTTCAATTGTATTAAAATTGTTTTTTGTTTTGTTTTGTTTTCTATCTATAGGTGTGTGTGGTTTCTGCATCCATAGTCCAGCTGGCTCTTGTGAACGAAAGTGCATCTATGGCTCGTCTCCTCCACAATGCACTGTGTTTCTTCAGTCCACTCTACCCTCTAATGGGCTGCCTTAACTGCATTACTGTGGTAAAACTGTATACTTTTCACATGACTTCATCCATTCATAAAATCCAATCAGTAAGCAAAAGTAAAATTGGCTTGTTTGATACATATTATCTCTCTTTTTTTTATATTATTCAAGGCTACCTTTGTTCAGTCTCCTCATGATGATGATTTTCTTTGGAAGAACCTCTTCATTTCTGTTGTGGCTGTAAGTTAAATAGTAATTAGTAATCTTTTTTCTTTTTTTTTTTTCGTCTCAGGTTTAGTGTAATTGTATCTTCCACTATTTGATTTTTTTATGGGTTTTTTCCTAGCCATACATCCAGTGTATACTTCTGCTCGTCTCACTGAGATGGCTGGAGATCAGATATGGAGGGAAGACCATGAAAAATGACCAGCTCTGCAGGTCTGACTTTAAAAGTGTAATGTCTGATTATAGTCTCATTAAAACCTCATACTGATTGAAAAAATTTGAATGAACTGACAGTCCAGTTGAGTCGCATCAATAACTACAATTTTTACTAAAATTGATTATATACAGTAAATGGTGTATTTATAGGATTTGATGCATGTCAGAAATATTTATTGACCTTAAAGTAGGCTTAAATAATTGCTTATTCTTTTTACTGATTTATTGCACAGTCGTAAATGTAAAAAATAATTAATATCAAAGCAGCAATAAGAATAATTTGATTTTTTAAAATATTGTTTTTAACAAAAAAAAATCCTCAAAAGCTGCTATTACAGTTTCCAAAAGTATAAGCAACATTTTATAATAAAGTAGTATTTGTAGTCACTGCTGCTGAAAATGTTTTTACAGAAATAAAATAACATTGTAAAATAATAAGGCAGAAAACAGATTTCATATTTAATGTACTTAATTTAAACATTAAAAATGCAAAATTTCTGCTTGATACAAGGTTATAAGCTCTCCATATGGTCATCACTTATTAAAGTTGCATTATTTACTCTTTCAGCAAACTCAAAAATGACGTTTGCTCTTTGTTCAAACTACTTATTTAATATGAGCTGAAACACACATTTTTAGGCTTTTTTACAAACTTAAATTTTTTTATGTTCACTTCACTTAAATATTTGAAACTTAACAAGTTAAATTAATTCCTTAGATTTGTCTCAACATACAGTAGATCAGTTGTGTGGAACCCAGCATTTTTTAGAGTGTAACTTATATTAGTAACATTTTAAGTATGTTTCAATGAGTGGTAGTTGCTAAGCTCCCTTTACAATTGACCTTATGAACGGGTTGTCGAGATCATTCCCAAGTAAACCTGAAGTAAAGCTTTTGATCTATCCTTTTTCAGAATTTCTTCCCAAGCAAAGAGCAAAGCTCAGCGGAACCCAGAGGAGAACATGAGTGAGGATGAAGACGTTCAGATGGAGAAAGCTCGAGTGAAAGAGGCCATGACCTGTCAGTGCTGTGAGGAGGTAAACTCACACTATATAACATTGCAAATCACTGTCTTATTCTGCAGTGCGGAAGTGCGCTTTTTTCTGCGATTGTTTTAGATCATTTATTTATCTATGGGTGAAATGACTAGTAATAATAAACGTCAGAAACGGAACAAGTTATTTGCTCTACAAAAAATCTGCATATAAAAATACATAAATGCAACTTTGCACCATCAAGCAGCAAAGCATTTTTTTTTCTTGTATCACAGGAATTTTTTTGTTTCATTTCAGGCATGTAAAACATCTCTAACACCCCTGAAATTACAATAAAAATGTTAAGATTAATATAAAAATTTAAAATGAATGAAACTGGAAGTCTCGAGCCAATAGGGAAGCAATGGCTGCACCCACTTGTAGGTTACAGAATGATGTCAATATAACATGATAAATATGGACTATATACAGTTGAAGTCAGAATTATTAGCCCCCCGACTTATTAGCGCCCCTGTTTATTTTTTTTCCCCAATTTCTGTTTAATGAAGGAAAGATTGTTTCAGCACATTTCTAAGCATAATAGTTTTAATAACTCATTTCTAATAACTGATTTATTCTATCATTGCCATGATGACAGTAAATAATATTTTAGTTGATATTTTTCAAGACACTTCTGTACAGCTTAAAGTGACATTTAAAGGCTTAACTAGGTTAATAAAGTGAATTAGGCAGGTTAGGGTAATTAGGCAAGTTATTGTATAACAATGGTTTGTTCTGTAGACTATCGAAAAAAAAAATGACTTAAAGGGGCTAATAATTTTGTCTCAAAATTGTTTAATTAAAAAATTAAAAGTTGTTTTTATTCTAGCCGAAATAAAACATATTAGACTTTCTCCCGAAGAAATAATATTATCAGACCTACTGTGAAAATGTCCTTGCTCTGTTAAACATCATTTGGGAAATATAAAAAAAAGAGAAAAAAAAAATCAAAAGGCCAATAATTCTGACTTCTACTGTGTGTATATATATATTTATTTATTTATTTATTTATTTATTTATTTATTTTTGATAGAAACCAGTTGTGGTGGTGAGTAACCTCAGAAAACAGTACAAAGGCAAGAGGGAGGGCTTCTCGCTTAATAAGAAAAGGAAAGTGGCCACAAAGAACATCTCCTTCTGTGTTCGCAAAGGTAGAATTTCTTGTTCCTACTTATATGTAATGTGATTTGGGATGCAAACGACCAATAAACGATCATTTAATTATTGCTAATCCTTTAAATCAATATACATTATTAATAGTAAATTGTGCATGGATGTTATCACACCACACGGCAACCTCAAAACATTATGCAATTCTGACCCGTTTTCAGGTGAGGTTTTAGGTCTGCTGGGTCCAAACGGAGCAGGGAAAAGCACAATCATGCACATGTTGTCTGGAGACACTGAAGCCACCGCTGGACAGGTTGGTACTTACATTTTTGCAATTTTTTTGAAAATATAAAGCAAGTTCAGTGGGCTCCGACTATAGTTTAATGCTTCTTTTTAGATTCTGATGGGAGATTACGGCACAGACTTTCAGCCTGCGGAAAACCCCTTGGAGCATGTCGGGTATTGTCCTCAAGTGAACCCTCTGTGGCCCAGAATCACTCTGCAGGAGCACCTGGAGATCTATTCTGCCATCAAGGGGTTACGTCAGCGTGATATCCCCAACATCATCAAGCGGTACCAAAGCTCTCCATTTTGAAAATGAATAATAATATATTTTTTTAATGTTTGCACTGTAAAGTCTCCTATAATCAAGGCATTTATTTGAATGAAAATATAGATGTATAGAAACAGATATATTATTTAATTAAGTAATTTAAGTGTTGATTTTATTCAATTTAATGTTGAATTCAAGATACTATTGCTTTCTTTGATGAATAGAATTTTAAAATAACACTATTGGTTTGCAGTTTTATAACATTAAAGATGTCTCTTTCAATCTCACGTTTAATTAATTTGGTGCCATTTTTAAATCTATCCTCTACTTCCTCTATGTAATATTCTGCTAATTAATCCTAAATAGCAGCAACCTAACACATCCTGCAAATATCAAGGGGTAAATGCTGAATAATTGCATCGTCATGGTAACCAAACTATAATTTGGTCATTAACAATGTGCTTTCATAGCTAATTAAGAATGATTTATGGCCAGTAATGTTTTTCTAACCTTTGGCCAATCTGTTTGGTTTTGCTAATTATTTTGATTATGTATCGCCCACATTAAACATTATATAATATGACCAACACTGTAATGTTTGATGTTTTTGTGTGTTAACAGTGTTGTGAGTGCTCTTGAGCTTAAGGATCATCTTTACAAACAGTCAAAAAACTTGTCTGCAGGGCTAAAGAGGAAGGTGAGTCCTACATTTAAATAAATATAAAATATAAAAAAGCTGACTTTGTCTAACGTTTTTTTAAATATATATTTTTCCATACCAGTTGTGCTTTGCACTAAGCATGCTGGGAAATCCTCAGATAGTTTTGTTGGATGAACCATCTACAGGGATGGATCCTAAATCAAAACAACGCATGTGGTAAATTTCCCTTCACATGCTCTTTATACAAAATAAATCATAACTTAATATATGGTCAGAAATGTACATTTAAACTGCAAGACTGCTAAAATTTACTGTTTTTTTTTCCTAATAGGAGAGCAATCCGTGCTGCTTTTAAGAACAAACAGCGAGGGGCACTGTTGACCACCCATTACATGGAAGAGGCAGAGGCTGTGTGTGACCGTGTGGCGATCATGGTATCTGGTCAGCTGAGGTAAACACTGACTACAACTAAAGATCTCAATTTTTAAAAAATGTTATGCAAATGAATTTGAAGCAAGTCCATAATTTGGAATAGAAAGCCCTTTTTTGTTGCCCCCCCTGCAGGTGTATTGGCTCAATCCAGCACCTGAAGGGGAAGTTTGGCCGAGGATACAGCCTAGAGATTAACCTCAGGGAGGAGCTCACAGGTCTCCAGCAGGTAGCGCTGTTGCACAAAGAGATACTGAAGATATTTCCCCATGCTGTTCGTCAGGACAGGTGAGATGGGTTTAATTAAATGAGAAAAGGTTTAATCAAATGCACCAAAACAGAAATGTCTTTTTAAAAATGAGAATGTAAAATATTCAGTCGTTTTTTTTCCGATATGTTTTGGGTTGTAGTTTTGCCACTATGATGGTGTATAAAATCCCAATGGAAGATGTGAAGTCTTTAGCCAAGTCTTTTGCCCAGTTAGAAAGTGGTAAGAGATGGACACCATAACAATGAGAAGAATTTGAGAAGAATTGAAAGTACTATTTTAATCTTTAACCATTGTTTTTTTTTTCCTCCACAGCTAAACAGAACTTCAACTTTGAAGAGTACAACTTTTCCCAGTCAACTCTTGAACAAGTATGTCAAAATGTTCTTATTTAAAAAGTATTATTTTTGTCAACATTTTAAAATAGGCAAGGCAAACTTTATTTATAGAGCACAATTTTATACAACCGTAGTTGATCCAAAGTGCTTTACAATGAAATAAAATATTTAAGAAAATAAAATAAAACTTGTATTAAAAATATAAGGAAATCAAATAAATATGTATATATGTAATACTAAAATACAGATAAGAAATTACATGTATGAGTCACTCAAAAGCAAGGGAGTAAAAATAAGTCTTTAAATTAGATTTAAAAGTATCCAAGGATGGAGAAATCCTCATGTTCAATGGGAGACTGTTGCAGAGCCTTGGGGCCACAACACAAAAAGCTCGATCACCACAGAGGGATCGACAAAAGAAACTGATCATGGGACCTTAATGCTCTACTAGCTGTACATAGCCTAGTAAGCTCGCTGACCTAAACCAGGGCGGAATTGTGCGAAGCTTTAAATGTGAAAAGGATTTTAAAATCAATTTTATAGGATGCCAGTGCAATGAGGCGAGGACAGGGGAGATATGATCTCTATTTTAGTTCCTGGTATTAATGTGGCGGCTGCATTCCGGACCAACTGTAACCAATAGAGTGTTGACTGGGGTAGACCAATGTACAATGAGTTGCAGTAGTCAAACTGAGAGAAAATTAAAGCATGGGTTACAGTACCTGTAACCTGTACAGTTTGCCCTTACAGGTTACAGGAACAGTTTCCCCTGTACTTACATGTTACAGACCAAATAATGGTCCATTAGTTGATGTATTAACTAACATGAACAAACTATTAGTAATACATCTGTTACGGTATTTATTCATGTCCGTTAATGTTGTTTCATCTAATGTTCAATCATGTTAACTCATGGTAAAGCCAGACTGAATCTGCGGATGTTTTTTTCTATTTCTGCTGAGAATTTTGCTAAAAATTTGTGGATTTCTGCGGAATTATTTTGGGAGTATCATAACTAAAACCTTATTATGTGAAATAAAAAATTATATCTTTTTAACTTTTATTTAATGTTTAAAATGCAAATACATTTAGATTCACTTTATTTGGTAAACAAAGCAAGTTTCTTATATAATATATCTTCTAAAAGACAGAAAATATTACTGTACAAACTGCATTGTTCTTAAATCAGATGAATATACTCAAATTAGCCAAAAATATTACTGTAATTAATTTAAAAACTAGATAAATATTTACACACATTTACTTGAGTAAATAAACAGAATTAATGATGGGCTAAAAATCTGCAGAATTCTGCCCGCACAGATTCCTTGTGGGCCTACTCATGGTGCATTATTTAATGTTAACTAATCTATTTTTGTGTTTTAAAATTGCAATAATGTTGAACTATGATTAATAAATGTTTTACAGGATTATTTATGCTTAATGTCAGTAAACACATTAACCAATGGAACATCATTCTAAAGTTTTACCTTTCTTTTTTATTTATTTATTTTAAAAATACTGATTAAAAAATGTGTAAATGTTGTTCAATGACAAATGGGTTTTCGGACATCAAAACAAGTGTAATGCAGATGAATCATTTTACTGTAAATTAGAATGTGCATCATTTAAATTATTATTTTTTCAAAACAAAGAAAAGGAAACCACATGTTTACTATTATTTGTGACCCTGGATGGCAAAATCTGATTGATTTGTTAAGTTGATATATTTTTGATAATTTACCTTGTAAAATTGCATTTTTTGGATTCAATCGTAGATTTTTCTTTAATTCCAAAAATGATTTGAGTATTAAGAGAAATGCATGTTCCATTTGACATGTCCTAATGTACTAATCTAATATTGAGTTTAATAAATTAAATGTGTGTGGCTGAGCACTTTCAATTTTAAGGCTGATTTTTTCAACATATTTGAGAAAATCATAAATTTCAGATTTTCAATCGTTTTATTTCTACCAAATATTGTCCTATTCTAACAAACCATACATTAATTGAAAGCTTATTTTTACTGTTGTACTGTAATATTTATTTATATCTCACTTGGACAAGTGTTAAGACTTAGCAAGTCTGCTAAAACACTTAAACAAATGAGTTTGGTTTGTCCAGTGTAATTATGATCCCCATGTCAAATGAACAATAAGAAAAAATATTCCAATTTCAAAAACATTAAGACTTATGACTGGATTTGCGGTCCAGGGTCACATTTTATTTATTTATTTATTTATATATTTATTATTATTATTTTTTTTTTCGTAATTCAGTTTTTTATTTCCAAAAGTGAGAATATACAATTTTTACAATCAGATAACAAAATACTTTTAACAGACATTACCCCATATATATTCCCCATCCCCCCACCCCATTATACGCACATCAGGAAACACAGAATAACTATAGTTTAGACCAAGCTGTTAGATAATTTACATTAAGTTGTCATTACTATTATTATTTTATTTACTCCTTTTTATTTAATATTGTTGCTGTTATTATTGTCATTTATCATTATATTATTGTCATTTATCATTATATAGTTTTTTTATATATATAAATGTTTTGTTGTTCTGTCACAAAAGTTTAAAAGTGGAAAGCCTTTCACTTTGTCTGTCATATCAGTCATTTATGTTCTTTTCACTCAAAAAAAAAAATTGTCATCAAATATGCAGACAAAAATAAACTTCTAGATTTCAACTTTATACAAGCTAAAAGTGTTATAGCTTTTGTGTTATACTTAAATGCGGTCTCCTTTAGGTCGCTTTATAAATGAATAGAAAAAAAAATGGATGTCTTTGGAAAGATGACTGTAATTTAAAATTCAATGTAATAACGTTTTTGTTTTGTTTTTATTATTATTTTTATATACGCACACACATTGGTCAATTTGAATGTATTTTATTTTATGATTTATTTTAAATGTCTTTTCTGTTTAGCAAATGTTGCGGTGGGAAAGTTAATATTCTGTATTGTTTGCTGGGTTTTATAATATAATTCAAATCAATAAAAACAACCTTGGGAAAAAAAAAACATATAAAGTGTAAAAAAAAAAAAAAAAAGAATTAAATAAATAAATAAATAAAATAGTTGACAAGATCAGTTTACTGAAAATAATTAGGATTATTGCTTTATTTATCTCTGTCTACATAACCTGAACAAGAGAATTTAATTAACCATACACCCGTTCTGCAGGTTTTCATGGAGTTTGCCAAGGAGCAGGAGAACGAGGAAGAAGAGGTCGGATCACTAAGCACGACTTTTCAATGGCAGAGACTGAGACAGGACGGCCCTGTATCTATTAATCACGCTGACAGCATAGTACACCAGCTATGAACCAATCCTGTTCCCTGAAGCGTTCTGCCCTTGCCTCTTTCTCCTTTTCCTTCGTTCTGCATGTGCCGTCTTTTGCCTTAAGAGCCTTAAACCCATGGGACTCACAGGACAATCGACTCCAGAGACTCCAATGGCCACTAACGCACACTAATAACGTGTGTATGTGTGTGTGTGTTTATGTGGCTCTGGCACTGGCACTTGCTCAGAAGGAATCAGACACACGACTTGAGTGTCATCCGTTAAACACAGAGCTAGACTCGTCGTCATCTGTTTTTACAACGACAAAAAAAAAAAGATTTTATTTTTTAAACTCTCACTTCTACTTGTATCTATCAAGCTCACTGTTTTCTTGTGTCCATATAACACACGTCTATCACTGGGAAATGAATTTGCATGAAGCGGGTTCCACGTTATCAAAACAGTACCAAAGTTTTCACTCACATCGACACCAAACTGCTTTTATTTCGATTTTTTTTTTGGTGTCTGTAGCATGGGATATAAACAAACTCGCATCTGTCTGTCTGTCTGTCTGTGTATGCGTGTGTGTAGATATTGTTAATATCGATGGGTGTAATATACGTTTTCAGATAGGAGAATCTGATTTACTGTGTGCAGCATTAACACTGAGATTAACCAGCATGTAGGGGCTGCTCTCCGCTTCTCGTACTCTTCTGTTTCAGGACGGAGCGGCCCTGCCAGGTGCATGAAGCCTCTTCTGTCTCTGCTGCACTGGGAGATCCACACGACTCCTTTCTCAAACACCAGCACGCGTTTCAGGCTTTCACACACAGAGCTCTCCAAAGAAAAACAGGGCTAAAGCACTCACAGTGAGTAAGCCGATGGGTTGAAATCAAGACAATGAAGAACTATTTCTCTTTCATCCCGTTTTCTTTCTGTCTAGTCTGGTGGCCTTCCTTTAGGAGCAGTTTTAAAAATCAGTAGCTTAAGAATGTAGTTTTCACCGTTTCCAACCATGTAGCATTCTAGATTTGGTCACATACTGCTGAGTGAGTGTGTTTTTGTTTTCTTTAATGAAGGTAAGAGTACTGTAGGAACCGTGAGCCTTGAATGTACAGTGGTGTTTAATGATGTTGCTTAGGTTTTTCGGGTGTACGTCTTCTCTTTTGGGAAGGCTTCTAAATGAGATGTTTGCATCCTGCTCCTTTTAAAGTCGTTGGTTCTTGTTTGAGAGGGTGCTTTTTTATGTATATTATGGAATATATATGTTTTTGGTTTGTTTTTAATGTGAATTTGATTAAATGATCACATCTTATTTTTTATGTTAGTCAAATTGTGGAATTGGTGTCTGTGTTGCACACTGGAGAGTATATTTCAGGAATTAATCCTTTACAAATATATATTTAAAATAACTTCACAGTATTTTCTTTTCATATTTGATGGGTGACGTTTTAATATGAGTTTCTATTGACCTTATTCTTTAGTGCAGAAGTGCGCCCGTTTTCGCAACTGTTTTAGAACTTCCGATTTAATCGCCTATGGAAGAAACGACTAGGAATAATAAACGGCAGAAGCAGTCAAACTGCTTGCTTTACTAACAAGTGCAGTCATGACTATACAGACAAAGCAGAATAATATTATGATGTTTGCAACATTAAGCAGCATAATGAGCCGTTTTTAACATCTAAAAATCGATGGAATTTCATCAGACCGGATGTCTTGAGCCAAAAAGATTTCAATGGTTGTTTCCGCTCGTAAGTGAAGAGTAAGGTCAATACTGGAAATTCCCAAAATATGGCCAGCGGCCAAAGTTGACCCTTTGATTTCACCCACCATATCATTTGAGAAGAAAGGAAGAATGATGGGGATCGTTTAGAGCAACGGTGCCCAAACATTTTCTTATAAAGGGCCAAAAACCAAACTTGATTTGGGGATGTTGGTCGAATATATACCAAAACGAATATATCACACCTTATTATAATAAATTTGCCATGGGTAATTTCCTAATTTATTCGCTAATATTGTTTTAAATGACTAGAAAACATGCTTTAAATCATATTAACTAATGCAGTATCATTTTGCGACTTATTACAGTAAAAACATAAACAATCTTATTTATAATACAACGGCGCTCAGTGCTGAAAACACTAGTCGATGTGCTTTTGATTTGCTCGCAGATGTCTTGTACATTACTAAAGTGGCAGTTTTTACATTGTAAAAGTCTTATTCATTTACAACATTTCATTGAAACGTTTCATTTCAGTTGGCTTTTTTTGTAGCTCAGCTATAAAACAAAGAAAGAAAGGGTTATGTTAGAATCAACATGATGATCTCTTTCAAAGGAATTCACCCCAGCCACCTCCCTGTCATTCTCCCTCTCTTTTCAGATGGGATGGTGGGCCAAATCAAAGTTTACCATGGGCCAACTTTGACCCACGGACCCTAGTTTGAGCATCAATGGTTTATAGCATTGGTGTCAAACTCAGTTCCTGGAGGGCCGCAGCTCTGCAGAGTTTTAGCTTTAACCCTCATTGAACACACTTAATCAAACTAATTGAGTCCTTCAGGCTTGTTTGAAACCTCCAGGTTAAGTGCGTTGAAGCAGGGTTGGAACTAAACTGTGCAGGGCTGTGGCCCTTCAGAAAATGAGAAATGTAATGTAACCTTTTGTTTGTTTGTTTTATTGTAAAAAGCTAACTGAAATTAAATCTGATTCATTTACAATATGTAATTGAAACGTTTAGTTTGAATGTCACCTCATGGATAGAGGGCAATGCAGAGACTTTTGGTGAGCAAATCAAGACAAAGGCAGATTCTCTACTGTTATTTTTTTATTGCAATATATATTGCAAGGTATCATTTTAAAAGTTGCATTAGTTCATACAATTATTTTTTTTTATCTGTTTTAAAATCTTAATAGGAAATTACACATGGCAGCTTCAATGTAATATAGTTTGATATATTTACCTTTGGCCCACGTCTCGTAATAATATTTGGTTGTTGGTTCTATATGCAAAAAGGTTTGAGCACCCCTTTTCTATACATTATTACCCTAAAATTTTATTTTATTTGATTTACTAATTATTTTTAAAGGTAAGTGGTTGCAAACTATTTGTATAAGCTGAATTTAAACAAACATTGAGTTGAACATTGCTCAATTTAATATGTTTAGTTAAATTCAGCCCAAATAAATAGTTTGCAACCACTTACCTTTAAAAAATGAGTAAATCCACTGAAACATTTTGTTTTTCAGTGTACCTAAAGGAATAGTTCACTCAAAAAAAATAATAAAATCTCATTATTAACTACCACTCAAAGTATATACTGTACTTTTCGGATAAATATTATAATATCCTGGCTTGTTAAAGCTTTGTAACAGCGGTTTATGCATCATTAAAGTAATCCATACATCTCCAGTGGGTTGATGAATATTTTCTCAATGCAATTGGATTTTCAAGGAAATATAATCATATTTCAATTATAAATGTTTACATTTATATTGATTAACTGATGTTAACTACTATAAGGTCATTCAGCATTATCAACTTAAATTATTTACCAATTTAAATTAGTTTGCGAGTGAGTTGAGGTATTCATGTTGTTATTCATGTATTCCATTCTTAACAGGACATGGGGGATTTCAGAACTGTCCAAACGTACGTTTACACTTGATGCATCTTTCCGTTGAATTTCTGATGGTCTAAAAAGCTTTTTCTTTTGAGCTCTGGACAACGATGATGAATGATGAACTCTGCCTCAAGTGCTGGTTCTCTTGTTGGTAGAACTTTTGCAAATGAAGCTTGCTAGATATATCAAGGTTTCTCCTGAGCAGTTATATACACTTGAAGTCAAATTATTTGCCCTCCTTTTTTAAATAATATTTCCCAAATGATGTTTAACAGAGCAATATATTTTTTACAGCTTTTCCGATAATGTTTTTTCTTCTGGAAAAAGTTTTATTTTCTTTATTTTAGCTAGATTAAAAATAATTTACATTTTTAAGCTTTCAATTAAAAAAAATCATCATTTTAGGGTCAATATTATTAGCCCCCTTAAGCATTTTTTAAATTGTCTACAGAACAAGCCACTGTAATACAATGACTTGCCTAATTACCCTAGTTAAGCCTTTAAATTGCAATTTAAGCTAAAAATATCTTGTAAAATATTGGGTATCATGGCAAAGATAAAAAAAAAAAAATCTGTAATTAGAAACTGGTTATTAAAACTATTATCTTTCAAAATGTATAAAAAAATCTGTTAAGCAGAAGTTGGGCAAACATATACAGGGAGGCTAAATCTGACTTCAACTGTATCGCTGATTGTGTGTTTTTTTTTTTTTTTTTTTTTTTTTTTTTTTTTTTTTTTAGTTTTACCTTAGCTAAATGTGCAACCCAGGCTCATTCTGAAAACGCACCCCTATATACATTTCTGGAGAGCATCAAATATGTCCCAGGAGCTACGTTTTTTTTTTCTTTTTCTTTTGCAATTTTTGTTTTCACAAATCCACCAGAGCCCGATGTGTATGCTTTTTCAGATCTCAAATTACGCACCTGCTATTCTCGTGTAAATCCAGAAGAGGCCGCTGTGTAAGCTTTTTCAGATCTCAAATTTCGCACCTGCTCTTCTCATGTAAATCCACCAGAGGTCGCTGTTGACTGACTGACCAACCGCTTCCCTAAACCCAACTGATAGTTTTTCAAAGCACAGATCCACCCCTATCCCTAAACCCATCCAACATTGTTTTTAAAAGCAATCCAGAAAAAGAAAAGCCCTCGCCTCTTTTTTTTACCACACTTTTCTTATTCTTACCCTGTTATTTACTTGTTTATTTATTTATAATTTTTTTGGCTTTTGTTTTTGTCTTACCTTCTTTCTGGAATCGTTCTTCACCAGACTCGAACCCCATCGTCGCGGTCAACTCCTCTCTCATCTCAAATGAGATAATCCCTACGTACTACGTACTTGTCAAGCTTCTGGACAAACATCCACGCGTAGCTAAGCAGTCAGCTGCTAGCATAAAAAGGAACGGCATAATACCGCCTCATATCGTTTATTTTAAAGACGCAAACATACAGTACTTCTGGCTACATAATTCGCGATGTCCAGAAATGTACATAGGGCTACGTTTTCAGAATGAGCCTATGTTGCAACTGTGAAAAGGTGTACATACAGTAGTGTGTAAAGCTGTCCTCAAAAATTGTAATCAATGACATGTCGTGGATGATTTAATTTATTTTTCCTCTGCTTTATCCTCATTACAAAGTTTGATTTACAACTAATCGAACTGTTGCTGTTTTGTGTATGTTGTATATTTTTTACAGACACGTAATTCAACCTCTGTAGCATCTAATGTACTGCAAAGGTTTGAAATGAACAAAAATATGTCCTTCTAATTGATCTGGGTCTAATAATGGCTAACGTATGGAGCAGACACAGTGGGTTGTTGAGAGGAGATAATTGTAATTTTTGCACATATATATAAATATATAAATCTATAGCCTTTCATGTCAGTAATGTATAACATTTTTCTGTAATGTTTTAATACTGACCAGTTTAGTCTTTTTCTGGACTGGGTTGGAATGGGATGATTATACTGAACACTATCTAACATCTATTTAACCAAGACCTTTATTTCCTCCAAAGTGCAATATATGAATACTCGTGCGTGTGAGTAATAAATGCATTACTATGTAGACGTGTCATTGCGAAGCGCAATATAAATGTTGTCTCTCTTGTGAACTAAGATGTGTCTTGCAGTACAATGTAGCCACAAATATATATATATACTCTTTTAGAATGCTTTGCACTCTCTTCCTCTCTAGTGCCCATTCCCTGCCCTTTGTATGCAAAAATTCCATTGGAAAAGAAATCGTATTCAGGATGTTGTTTATTTTTGGACTAGTGGATGTGAATAAGTTGCATATGTTTTTTTTTTTTATGTTTACTGCACTGGTATTTGATTTCTGTTTTTACTCACTGAGATGTTAAACACTCCAACTGTTAATTTTTCACCTTTTGGGGGTTCAAATAAATACGGTAAAACTTTGCGGTGTTGCTGGATTTATTTTATTTTTAACTTTAATGGGGGGAAAGAAATCTTTTTAATAGTTAAAAGTTATATCCGCTAGCCATACAGTCACTGAAAGGCATAATAAAAAATAAAATTATTATTATTATGATGATTATTATTACTACTTAATTACTCTCAAAAATAATATTTAGCCTACTTATTTAAAGTTAGCTAAATTTACACAATTCCTGCATTTTTTTTTTTTTTTTTTTGGCATCATGGTGGCACAGTGGGTAGAACGATTGCCTCACAGCCAG